TTTTGTGTGTGAGTCTACGACTGACCATAATGGTAATTTATTATAAGTAAAATTGTAAAGCGCCAAATACCCTGTGTACCCCTGCAAGTAGTGCACACACTTCTTTTTGTAGCAGGGATGATCTGTTGTCCTGAAAAGGAGTTTCCTTTTTCGCTCCTGAAGGTATTTTTGAAATATGGGTTGCTATTAATAAGATCAACAGTTACTTTTACCAACTGCCAGCATGCTTTGGAAAAAAAAGTTCGCAAGCCCACTAAGGGATGATCAGTTATGCATTCCTGGTTTCTATTACTGCAAGATAACCCTGCCAAGAAAAAGACCAGTCTCAGTCTGGAGCTAGCGTGGCACAGTGGAACAGGTGAGCCTGGACATCAGGATCGTGGCTTCGGGTCCAGACTCCGCCATTACATAGACAGCCTTTGACTGTGGGCTATCTTGCTTGACTCTTGGTTCTCCGTTTCTTCATCTACAAAATGACGGCTTAGATCCAGATGATTTCCAAGGGACTCTTCATCTCCAAAATCCCCTGGTTCTGCTTTTTCAGATTGAAATTTCAACTTCTCATTTGCTTATGTTGAGAACAGATTTGATTAAACGAGAAAGGTTTTGTTTGACCCTTGTAAGAACTCTTCTTGTTCATGTGCATTTTTTTTTACTGGTGGATTGTTTTTAGAGAGTATATGCAAGGTGTGCCTGGTGGCTCAGTCGGTTAAGTGGCTGCCTTCGGCTCAGGTCATGATCCCAGGGTCCTGGGATCGAGCCCTGCGTCGGGCTCCCTGCTCAACAGGAAGCCTGCTTCTCCCTCTCCCTCTGCCTGCCCCTCTGCCTACTTGTGCTCCCTCTCTCTGTCAAATAAATAAAATCTTAAAAAAAAAGTATATGCAAAACATTAAATGTAATTTATTTTCATATTTGTTATGTTAGAGGACATATCATTTCCTTTGATTTATCAAAATTGCTTCACACTTCATATGAAGTCCTTAGGAGGTAAATTATTGCCAACTCAGCAAATTATTTATGGCTGTTTGAGGGATTTTTTTGTATATGCAGTTTTTAATTTGGAAAACAGCACATCACCCAAACCATAGAAATTCACATTTTTCTATTTAATTAAAAATCTCATAAATACTATGTACTCCACAAGAACAAGCCTGCTTATTTATTTAACCAGCCAGGATTATGCCCTCTTTTTTTTTTTTTTTTTAAGGACTTTATTTTTTAGAGCAGCTTTAGGTTCATATGCATTTCTAAATGTTGAATTTTTATTACCCATAAAAATTCTTTTTTGTTTTGTTACTTTCTTTTTTTCTGAGAGAGAGAGAGCAGGGGTTGGGGAGGAGCAGAGGGAGAGGGAGAAAGAGAATCTTAAGCAGGTTCCATTCCCAGCATGAAGCCTGAATTTGGGGCTCGATCTCATGACCCTGAGATCATGATCTGAGCCGAAATCAAGAGTCAGACATTTAAATGACTGAGCCACCCAGGTGCCCCAAAATTATTTTCTTTTACAGTCAAATGATGTGTATCAAACAAATGTTTTCAATTTCCATTTCCTGTTTGTTCTTACACTCCCCAAAGTCAGTCTCCGGTGTTCTCAATTCTCCTTCTCTCAATTTAAAATTAGTGGTGGCGGTTTGGTACAGGAGAGTGATGGGGAGAGGTCTTTCCAGGAGATAGGAGGCTCAGAATCGATTAGTCCGTTGAGATTTGGGGTCTCCAAAACTGGGATTTACTACGGGAACGATGAGACTCTCCAGGTCCTTCTCTGCCTGGAGTGTAGAAGAAAGACTAACCTCTTTGGACTAGAGTTCTTAGAGAGTCATGGAGTGGCTCGCTGACCATATTTGCCAGAATTAGAATGTTTTATACAATTTAACAAAAAGTTATGCAGGGGAAAAAAAAAAAGACAAAAAATGCTGTGGAAACACGGTTGGTTTCCTAACCAAACACCCATTCCCATTCTTTGCTTCTACTCCAGAGGCTAGAAATGCTAAATTTTCTTTTCACCATGATGCCACATAGTTAGGGATAGTCGTGTAAGATCTTGCCAGTGAAATGTGATTGGAGATCGCTGAGGATTTCTGGGGAATGTTTTGCTTTCCTGCTAAAAGGGGCGGATGTGGCACGCACTGCCTTTTCCTGCCTTGAATGTAGCTGTGGATGTCTAGACTTGTACTAACTGGTGGAGGAGAGGTGAAGAGAACCTGATCCGAAAGTGCTGAGCTGCTAAAACAAGGCCATTAGGTACCTGTTTCCAGGCTTCTTGCTCTAGATGAAAAGTAAACCCTTATTAGTTTAAGCCGCTTTTAATTGCTACTTGCTGCTGAAGGTATAACAATGAGAATCTGAGGGTGAAAAAGGGCAGGTATGGAAGACTTGCTCTGTTAGACTTTAAAACCCAGGAAGAAACAGGTGAATGTAGTTGGTTAAAGACAAAACTAGAGTAGTTGCTAGCCTGACCCCGGCCATCTCTGCAGTCCATAGAGCACCAAACCCCAGGGGCCAGGTGGATGGGAGGGGAGAAATTGTTTGGTGGACATGGGGACACACAGATGGAGTCCATACCTGAAGCTGTTGGTGCCTTGGGGTGAGTGAACCAGTTCTAACAGGAACAAACTTTCCAGTTAGGTGGGACGTGGTCTACCTGGCCCTCCACTGTCCTCTTTTTGCTCCTCCATTTTGATCATCCCTCATTACCCAGTACTCCCCTTGCCCCAGCCCCAGCCTTATACTCAGTAACTACCTCATTCCCAGTATTTCCCCCAATTCTTCAAGTTGAGTTGGTAGATCAAGAAAGCACTCTCACCAATGACTTAAAGGTTATGCCTCCGTCTTGGAAGGTTCTACAGATACTCTATAAGAGGACCAAGGAAAAACTTTCTAGTAATGCTCCAAGACCTCCATAAAATCACAGGAGGATGCAGTTTCACTAGAGGGCTTCCCACTGCCCACACACATAGGACTGTGGATATTTAGCGAGAGCCTGCGTGCTGGGAAGAAATGAAGTGATTGTCATGGAAAACTCTTCAGCCAAACACAGGACCATTTTTCTGAAATAAAGAATATGAGGATATCCAGTGCCTGCACTCAAATAGCATTCCTCACAGGGATGTCAAGCCTGTGAATCTCTCTTCCCTCTGAAAAGCTCAGTGCTGTTCTGAATTTTGCCGAGGAGACTATGGGCTACAACTTTTGTCCTCTCCTCCCCCAACACTGCACTGTGTGGCCCCACGGAAATATGACAGGGCCTGTCATCATGGGTACTCAAATGTCATCATGTTTGTCTCCATTCTAACCCAAACTTGGCCTTACCCTCTTTCCTGGTGGAAGATTCAAGTAGAGCTGTCTAAATTTCCCCTACTCTAAGGGGTCAGAGAAATCAAAGGAAGTCAAGATGCTCATCTGGAACCTGCTAGAAATGTTCGCTCAAAGAATGGCCGTTGCAGAGTTTACGAACTATGGGATTACGCACCTGATAACAGTTCTCTGGACTAGTGCCACTTAAGGTATGGACCAGTGTCAGTCCATGAACAGTTTCTTACCTGTTCAAACAAAGTACAGAAATTGAGAGTAAGTGTTGCAAAACTTGATTAGCACTTTGATATTACCATGACAGCCAGCCATTTGACTTTGTATTTTATAAAAGTATCAGTCTGCAGTGGATTGAAAGTAAAAAACTGGTTTCCAAACAGTTGGAGGATTGCTTCTCCCCATCTGGGGAGAAAGTGCCAGAGTTTTGGCCACAAAGTGATTTGATTATGAGGAGCTTTGTGGTTCACTCAGACTGGCCTCTTGGTTACGTGGCTTAAAATGGGTCTTATGTTAGGGCCTTTGAATTCCCAGATCTCTCCGGCCCCCTAGAGCCGGGGAGTTTAGTGGAGGGACAAGAAGACCGTGGGGCAATAAGGTTGGGGCCTCTCATCTCTAACTCATTTATCTGATGGCCTACTCAACATCTCCACTAGGAGGTCTAAGAGATCTCTCAGACTGAACTGCTCTTCCTCGACCCCAAACACCTTCGTCCACAACACTATCTTAGCATTTGCTCAGATGAAAAGTCTTGAAGTTGTTATTGACATTTCTCTCTTTCTCACCTTCTTACCCGCCCTGGCAGCCCGGTTGGCTCTGCCTTCCAAACAGCCAGAATCCAACCTCTTCTGCCCCATCTCCACTGCTACTGTGATGGTCTCCTCAAGGATCTCCCCACTTTGACCTGAAACGTCCACAGGTCACCGTGCAGCAGCTAGATTGGCCTGCCCTGTCATGCCTCTGCTTGAAGTCGCATAATGGCACCCCGCCGTACTGCGAGTCAAATCCTCCCAGCAGCCTCAGGCCGCGCAGTACAGGAGCTCTTTTCTCACCCTCGCCCGCCTCCGCTGCCTCTGCCACCAGGACTTCATGCTGTCGCGGCACACTCCAGCCACACTCCCACCTCGGGGGGTTTGCTCAGGCTCTTCGGGGAAAGCTCTTTCCCATTGTCCGTGTGGCTAGCGCTCTCTCCATTCTAGACTGCCCTCAAAACCTCACATTTTCAGTGAGGCTCATCCCGATCTTATTACTGCAGCGTACCTCACCTTCTCCCCAGCCCTCTGAAATCTCCTGCCCCTGCCCCACTTTTTCTTTATTCCATAGAACGTGTATCTTTATATTGTACCATTTTCATGTGCTCATACATTGTTTACTCTCGCCCCCTGCCACCAGGATGTAAGCTTCACAGAGATAGGGATCTGTTTTACCGACTGCCACGAATAGAGCCAGGCACTTAATAAATGCATCTCCTTATAGCAGCTCTTACTAATTCCCTTGAAGAATCCCCCAGAACCTCACTGTCGCCTTAGAGAAGGGAAAGCAGAGGGAGAGTGGGAGGAATAAGAGAGCTGTTGGTAAAATTCAGGGCTGAATTGCCTACTAAAAACTGCGAGAGCGTCTCGTGGCCCAGCATTGCCCTCCTTGTCTCCCCGTCTTTCATTCTGTCTTTCTTCCTTCCATTCTGGATGCACCAGAAACAGGTGGCACGTGAAGGATCGGAACCTATCCACTGACAGATGTAGATTTCAAGGTGCAGTTATTGGACCCAGTGACCTTGTGGCTTCACGGAGGCTCTGGATGGCAGTACAGGTAGGACGAGAAGGTGTAGGACCACAGTCTTTGTCCAAGACGCGTGCCTGGATCCAGAAAGGATGTAAGCAAGCACCACATGAGAAGGAGAACGGCTCAGGGGCAGGGAATTGATGAAGCTGTTGGCGGAACTTCGTAGGAAAGTTAAAAGAATAAAAAAATAAATGTGATTAATAAATAAATATGGGTTGCCACTAAGCATAAAGGGCGTGAGCAAGGGAGATGTTTTGGGCCACTTCTTTGGCCCCAGTTTCTATCTTTTAAGTTTATTTTTTAAGTAATCTCTACACTCAGTGTGGGGCTCAAACTCAAGACCCTGAGATCAAGAGTCACATGTTTTCTTCTGGCTGAGCCAGTCAGGCGCCCCAAATTTCTGTCATTTCTAATATTATTCCTAAGGCAGGACATCTGGGTTATCCTAGATGAGTTACTCTTTTTCTTTACATTAGTTCTAAATTGTGTTTTAAAACCTTCTCAATGTGCAATTTCTAAAGTCACACTTCTTGTTAAAAATTTCCAAGTTTCTATATGCTCTTCTGACAGCTTTGCTTATTTTTGGGTTGGAGAACTTTTTCCATCAGACCTAAGATTGAAGGAATGCAGTATGCTGCCCTCAGCCTCTGAAAAGGAGGCTTGTCTTCTCCAGCATTTACGTCTTCAAGCACTGGTTCAGAGGGAACAGACCCAGACTCTGGGCCAACACGGAATAGAATGCACAGTCAGGACACAGGGGGGAGAAAGCCGGGAAGCCTTGTTTAAACTGTGGTTGTGGCGAAAATCTTTGGGGGAAGAGAAATTCAAGAGGAGTTTGTTAAGAGCATTATTTTAAAAGTATAAGATTTGTGACTGCAATATATAAACTTAAGTGACTTTGGGAATGAACGATGTATATGGCACAAGGGTGAAAAGTGAACCATCATTCTCATTGTAAACCTGACAGAGTATTTGTAATCAGGGGTATCTATGATACCGTCGCTTGCCAATTAATTCTGAATGTTCTCATGGTGAAAATTCTCTGGACGAGCAAGGATTCTCTATAAAAGGAAAAAAGCAAGATCCTTAAAGTATCAGTATAAGTCGAATCTCCTTTTGCTGAAAAAAAAAAGATTATGGTTCCAGTTATAGAGAATCGTTTCTCCATTTTGGCTTAGAGCCGTTAACCACTCTGCTTTGCTAATAATCAACAATAGTGGTTCGCAGAGATGTTACTTTAATTAATGCGTTTCCTAAACGGTTTCCTTTTGACCTCTTTTTTCTCCTCCTAGCCCCTTGCTTCAAATATGAAGCAAATCTCCATCCTGACCTCAACTCTTTATTCTCTTAGAAGCTTCCAGAGAGCAGAAAACGTGTCTGTTGCCAGTGGGTAAAATAGTGCTGGTCACCTATTAGACGCGATCAGCCCTAAGTGGTCAGCTCTCAAAACCGCATCTTTCCTTCTGTGCTCCTGCCTATAGTTCGTCACTGTTCTTTCAGGAAACAATGGCGTCCCATGAAAACTGCAGTTCACACCTCGACGAGGGGAGAGCTCTTCCTTGAGGTCCCCGCGTGCATACGTCAGGGCCCGGCCCCAGTGCTCTGTGTACTTTGTATCACCCAGGCTCCTGAAAAGTCCTGTATTCAAGGGTCCAGACTACATAATATGAATCATTGTGACTGTTCTTCAAGGACTTTGTTAAGCGACTCTTAAGTGAAACTGGCTTTTGTTGTTTCATGCGAGGGCATGGTGGTGAAGAATAATGCGGTGACGGCCGGTACAGCCGGTGCCACGAGTTTGGCCCACCCTTGTCTTCGCACCGTCAGTTGGTCCACACATGTCAGTGCAAAGCCAATCAAGTCTTAGTATTATTATGAAGAGTTTTACCCTCACAAGACCCTGGCAAGAGGTTCGCTCGAAGCTTGGTGACTCACTGCCCTAGGCTTTCGGGATGTCATGGCCGCTGCCCCTGTGGAGCTTGCGTTCCAGTGACGGAAGACGCCCAACAAGGGGAGAAGTAAACAAGGTGATTTCAGAGCGTGATCAATTCCGTGAAGAGAATAAATACAGGGAACAGGACAGACAGTAGCTAAGGATGGAGGAGGGGCTGCTTTGGAAGAGGCCTCTCTGAAGAGATGATCTCTGACCCAAGAACTCAAGGGTGGAAGAGGGTCTGCCATGCCGAAGACTGGGGAAGAGGTTTCTGGAGAGGTGATATAGCAAGGGCCAAAGCCCCAAGGCAGGAAATAGCTTGGCATTTAAGGAAGAGGGGCCCTTGGGTGGTGCAGTTAAGCATCCGACTCTTGGTTTCACTTCAGGTCATGATCTCAGAGTCTTGAGATCAAGTCCCATGTTGGGCTCTGAGCTCAGCAGGGAATCAGCTGAAGTTTCTCTCTCCCTCCCTGTGCTTCCACTCTCTCTCTTTCTCTCTCTAAAATAAGTAAATAAATCTTAAAAAAAAAAAAGGCAAGACAAGAAAGAGATTAGTCTGTTCTGGATAATGGCAGTATTTTTTATGACCCCTGTGGTTCCTTCAAGGGGGATTCCATATTCTTATCATTAAAAATTATAATAGTATATGTACTAACTTGTTTAATCCTTCTAACAATCTTGTTATCCCCATTTTACAGATGAGGAAACCGAGGCATGCTGAGACTAGGAAAGTGGTGACAGAGCTAGAACACCAGGAGGTTTGGCCACAGAACCTCTAATCTTTAGAGCCTCTTCTTGAGAAGACAATCACTCAATAGAGAAAAACTTCCTTGTTAGTGCATAAAAAAGCTTTTCTTTCTTTCTTCCTCTTTCTTTTCTTTCTTTCTTTTTTTTTTTCTTTTTGGTATATAATGTATAGAATTTATCCCTCCTACTTGGGGTCTGGAGAACCAGAAGCTGTCAGAGCCACTGACACATCACATCTGTCACTTGAGGAAAGAACAGTAGCTCAATGGAAAGGAGTTTCTCTGAATAATTCCCCTGAAAAGTTTCTCTCTCAACTTGAGCAGTCACAGATGCATTGAGTCTTTATGAAGCTTTTGTCTTATTCTAAACGAGATATAAAGAGCAATGAGCTGTGAAGCCGAATGATCCACTCTGACAGGTTCTCTATCTCTGCGACCCAGGTTGGTTGGAGGGATTTGTCTAACTTCTGCATGGTCCTGTCAGGAGGTCACAAAAGTCAAATGCCCTACTGTCAAACCTATGCAGATTCCCTCTCTAGGAGGGAAGGGAAGGGGACCTCACTGTCAGCTTGGGTAGGAAAGGACAGCCTTACCCCAAACAAGGGCAGTGAGACCACCCATGTCACATTCTTGAGATGTTTGCGCTCACCCAGCAGCATCTCTTTAATCTTTATGGAATCTTCTCTGCTTTGCTTCATCTCAGCCCACCCCCCTACCCCCCCAACTCCCCTCAGCTCCAATCCACAGGCATTGGGTGAAGCTGCAAACCTAACTCAAAAAGTCAGATTTAGGGGCGCCTGGGTGGCTCAGTCGTTAAGCGTCTGCCTTCGGCTCAGGTCTGGTCCCAGGGTCCTGGGATCTAGCCCCGCATCAGGCTCCCTGCTCTGCGGGAAGCCTGCTTCTCCCTCTCCCACTCCCCCTGCTTGTGTTCCCTCTCTCGCTGTGTCTCTCTCTGTCAAATAAATAAAATCTTAAAAAAAAAAAAAGATTTACTCCCTGGTTATAGGCACTCTGTCATCTGGCCTGCAACAGAACCACATTCCTTACTGGGAGACCAACCCCAGTCCACCAGGCTTTTGTTGTCTACATCTCAGCCCTAATAGTAGACTCTGGCTTCTGTTCACCAAGGATCCTGCTCGGAGCTTCTGGAAATTACGTGGTTAAATCGAGGCCTGGACCTGTGTCAGGAACTCTCTCCTGGCAATAAAATAAACACAGAATATGCTGATCAATTTTCTACCTCTGACTTTTGTAACACGTAACAGACTATAAGCTTCACAAGGGTAGAGTCTTGTCTGTTTCTGCTCATCTTTGTACCCCCAACACTGGCACAATGCCTGGCACACTGTGTGTGTTCAGTGATGATCTGTTGAATGATTGAATGATTACATGAGTGGTTTAATTGGACACATGGAAATAGACAAGTGAGTGTAGCGAGAAATGTATTCATTCACTTGGTCTTTCCTTCATGGTTCCACAAATATGTATTGAGCACTGACTATGACAGACATGCTGTTAGATGCTAAGAATACAAAATCCCTGGTGAAGCAATCTAACCAAGGGGACTTTCCCAACGATGTAGTCTCAAAGAAATAGTCCTTTATTCAATTGGCAGCATGAGTTAAGAGTCTTCTGCATGTAGTACTCTGTACTAACCCAGAAAAATGGAAGTAAATGGAAGACATTTCCTTTCATCACAGAGCCTTCAATCTAAAGGCCAGAGAACATGGCCGTATGCAAAATACTAAAAGGTTATGCAATGACACATATAGGAACAAGAATTTTCTTGTTAATAGATCACCTATTGTACCAAATGTACTGCAGCCTTATGAGTAATTGAGCGATTTTTAGTTTTGGTGTCTCCGTCAGAGTTTCCATCTGGCTGTAAAGCTGTCCCCACCCTCTGCTTGTGGAACTCCCCTTCATGCAGATCTCAGGAAGTCTGTATCTACTTCTCTGTCCAGATGCCCCTATTAGTCTCTCTTTTAAGAACCCAGTTCTCTTCCTTCTAAAGCTTCATCCCAATTTGCAATTAGATATTTGTTTGTAGTCTTTCTCTTTTACCACACTGCAAGCTCCCAAAACGCAAGGACTTTTTATTTTTTAATACTTTTTATTTTTTTAAGATTTTATTTATTTATTTGAGAGAGCAAGAGCAAGGGGAGGGGCAGAGGGACCAGGAGAGGGAGAGGCAGGCTCCCCACTGAGCAGGGAGCCCAACATGGGGCTCAGTGCCAGGACCCTGGGATCATGACCTGAGCCGAAGGCAGACTCTTAACGGACTGAGCCACCCAGGCGCCCCAGGACTTTTTATTTTGATCAGATGATCTTTCAAATGCCTTGCATTGTGCCAATACATATTTGTTAAATATATGAATTAAGGATCACAGCCAAATTCCTGCTTAAAATATTTGGTACCTAGCAGATAGGATTGCAGTGATAATTGAAGAAGCTCATGACTTGATTGGTCACAGGATTTCTCTCTTTATGTTGAGCTAAATGACTGTTTTCACCCATGCTGGGCAACATTCTGGTCTAGATTCTAGTTTACTTTTTTTTTTAACTTTATTTTTATTTATTTTTTTAAGATTTTATTTATTTATTTATTTGAGAGAGAGAGAGAATGAGAGAGAGAGAGAGCACATGAGAGGGGGGAGGGTCAGAGG